CCGGCATGGTAACCGTTCGGGCACGGAGGCAATTAAATGAAAAAAAAAACCATGAAATCTTAACGTATTTTAATAAAACGAAAAAAATGGTAATCTAACTAATTAGTTGCTCGAAATGAGCTCCATTTTCAAATGAAAAAGAGTCTGCATTTTTCAACAATTCAAAAATTGAGTCAACAATTAACAAGTAATCTGATGGACCTTTGAGTAAAAGTGCTTTAACTTGACCCATTGAATTTATAACTCCAGATTTCATGGTTTGTAACAGAGATTTCAACCTCATAATTGACCCTATCGATTGATTTAATAAAAGTACAGGGTGCATTTTTTTTAAAGATTTTAGCGATTCCCGCGTGTGGCTAGCAATTTTCGAAAATCTTTGAATGCAGTATTATTTTGTTTTTAAAAATAAAGGAATGTTTCCTTTACGCAAAAATTTCTATCTCCAATATTTAACGTATTTTCCTTCCAAATGGCATTACAAATTTCGACCCTGCATAACTAGACATTTGCATGCTATTTAATATATGCGAAACATGTTTGTACTGGCACTCTCTTGTAACATCTTCTGTTATACCATGTTTTAAACAAATAAAGGAATTAATATTATTATTATATGATAAACACTGTTTATGTGACGGGGACAGGGATATTTTGTGGAATGGACATATTGACTTACAAATAAATGGACGACGGGTCTAATACAAAAACCACGAAAAAAATGTCCCAAGTCAACCTATTCGAAATTTAAATTGTTATGTCATCGCAGTATCGCGCTGTCCGTAGAACAAATGAAGACTAAAGCGGAGTGTCGCGCTCTGTATACGATTTTAGCGCCTTACAAGTGCGGACACTTTTTAGCGCGGACCCGACGTCCATATAATTGTAAGTCAATGAATGGACATGATGAATGAGGTGTTCCGATATAATAATCATTCGACTCGTGCTCCTGACCGAATGGCAGGGGCATTCGGTAGTTAATCATTCGACAATAAATTGATAAAAAAGGTGCGCACTGATTCAAATAAATTTAGGTAGCAGTAGAGCTCGTTGTTCCTTACCAAGGAGCTCTACTGCTTACCTCGTACCTATTTCTGCATTACTGCGTTCCGTTTTAGAAAAGTAAGGGTGCTGGTGAAATTACAGGCACATGGGACTTGTCAATTTATGTCTCAGACTGACGAGAGCAGTGGGAGGGCCCCTAAGATCTTTGCGATTTAAAGCTCTGTGATTGGCAATGCAACTGTTTTGAATAGGCGTATCGCTTACCACCAGGTGCATGACTTGTTCGTTCCATCACTTGGTATTATAAAAAGCATCAATGGACCCTGCAATGACGAAAATCTGTTTTCATCTCCGACATTATCAGACATACCGTGCCTAACTCTCTCCTAACTGAGCTACGGAACAAACCAGTAGTCGTTATGAATTTTTCTGTGCTCTATTGATCGTTGATTTTGGTTTTCAACGACTTTTTTGCCATAGCGCCATTTCTGACAAATCTATGAAAGTTTTTCTTTACTATCGGTCTTTATTAAAATATCAAAATAAGGCAATTACAAATTGATGTTATACTCAGTAAGTAATTTTTTATTTATTTATTTCAGGTCACATACAGTTATACCTTAAGGACTGACATACATACAATATTTATGATATTGTATGTGTAACACTATTTGTAACTAATCTACAGGAATTGCATTTGTCGGCGACGTGTGGCGCAATCTGGTGTCACAGATGTGCGGTCGGCACTCTGACCATAAACGAATTAAAATTCACGTTGTGGCGGGACTCCAACCGCTCGATCCTCAGGGCGTATTTGGTTTTATATCTCATGTACTCCACTATCTCAATTATCTATTATATAAGGTTAATCGTTACTTATTTTGACCAATCTTTTCGAACATTTAAATGTAATATGTATTTTTATTATGTTTATTGTGTAGATATTTTAGTTTATTTGTTTAGTGATGTGAATTTTACTTCTGTGTACATGCTACTACTTTTGTAAATGTAAACTTGACTACTTCTGTGTTAGAAACACCTATAATGAAAGTGAAAGGTTAGCTAGAAAGCGACTTAGTCTAAATACACCTCGCCGGCTAAATTCGTAAACCTCGTAACCTCCATTAATTTGAGCTTTTGAGTAAGTACAAAAAAACAGTATTACTCATTGACTTACAATTATATGGACGTCGGGTCCGCGCTAAAAAGTGTCCGTACTTATAGGGCGTTAAAATCGTATACAGAGCGTCATTCATGCTTTAGTCTTCGTTTGTTCGACTGACAGCGAAGCAAGCAAAATTAGACAGTACTGCGATGACATTACAATTTAAATTCAACGATTTAGCTTTTTCATATTCCTTTACATGTCACTACGTTTAAATAGGTTGACTTGGGACATTTTTTTCGTGGTTTTTGTATTAGACCCGTCGTCCATTTATTTGTAAGTCAATGGTATTACTATTAATAGTTATATGACAATCTATGATTAAACCTTAAAATTTTCATAACTAAATATTCTTAGTACTCAGTAGTAAAAAACCGACCTCAAAAATTTGTGAAATTACGTTTATTTGCCAAGTTTTATTTAAATCGATTACCGGAAAGTTCACAAAACTAGATTCATTCCCTAGTTTGCCACCCTTTAATATTTTCTTCAAATTTAAATGGGACCATTACTGAACTATCCTCTTTCCAACAAAAAAAGAATCATCAAAATCGGTTCACAAAATCAAAAAGCCGGGTTATCGCGTAACATACATAAAAAACAGGAATTGAAATCGGTTGAAAAAGGTCCACAAATTATATTTTAAACTTTAATTTCCCTAAAAAAACAAGGGATGTCGTCCTAAAACGGAGTTACGCGGTCTATAAATTTAGCTGACGATACGTATAAGACCTTATAAAACAAAATTAATATATTATTGAGTGATCGCACAATTTACATTACTATTAGATATTTATTTAACTTACTACTGATATTTGCTGACGGTGGCACAAGAATTTGGGATGGCCTAGATGTCGCAACGGTGTGCACTGTGAACGCTGGATAAGGAGGTAGAATCAGTTTGGGAAATGAACTTTTCTAACTTGGTTCTGGTCTTGGTGTTCTAGGTTTCCCCAGAGCAGACATTCTTTTTTTTAATTAAATGTACTTGCTCTTGATCACTACCTAGCTTTGAAGCAAAGGTAGGATATACGATGGAACGAACTCGCCTTTCAGTCGGACCTTAAAGATACTCTGGTTGTGCTCGGAAACACAATGATGAAAAGCGCTTAGTACATCTGAAGGGAATATTGATTAAGTAAGGATGACATCCCGCCGTAAGTCTGGGTGACCGATGATAAAAGGGGGCCGGCGGAATGAGCTGATGGAGCTCGTGAGTACACTATCCAAAATATATTCTATAGAAAACCGACAGACAGGCAACTTTGCGCCGGTGGACTAAACTATGAATTTTCAATTCGAACTTATCGTCGCCAATAAGTATCCTGGCTCTGCGTTCAAACGATTCAAGAACCTCAAGTTAATAGTTCACTGAGCCATCGCGCAGGTGACTGCAATATGGAGTTGCAAGATTGGATTTGTGCTTTGTTCAAAGTAACCTTCCAGCGGTCGCGCGTGGTCTCAGAGACCGCAGCGACTTTATTTTAGTCATTTTACTAAAACTATAAACAATAAACGGTTGCGCGACCGTGATATCCTCGAGGGGGTGAGGTACTTCCCCTTAGTAGCCCTGTGACATTCGTCGCAAGCGCATGTGTGTCTTTATTTGTGTTTGCCTCAGATTCCGCGTGCGACCGGCCGTGTTCCAGAAAAAAATCATGGAATGAAATTGAAACCTGGGTGAGTATTTGATATTATTTGTACTACATTACTTACAAAATTACATTATTTTATGTAATATATATTAAATTATTTATTATTTCACTATTTGTTGTAGACACAGTGTGAGTTACGAAGAATCAAAACGGCTTGCAGAGGAGGCGGAACAGAAGATGAAGATTCATGATGTCAAATCATTGCTACTGGTAATGAATAGGTCGTATCGTACTAGCTGTTCCTAAAAAAAGTTTTTCCTTTTTTATTTTATAAGAATTGAGATAGTATGTACAACATCATGAAAACAAAAACATTAAAAAATAATTGTGATTTTAGAGTTCCTACAATATTGTGCAATTGATGACAAGATTGATCTCGATAATAATAGATTATAGTGTGCTTATGAACGATTAAGATAGAAAATTTCATCTTATTTTGTTATTTTGTTGATTTTTAACGTTGTTTGTGTCATATGAGTAAAATTTTGAATTTTTATAGACTGTTCAACTAATAAGCAGAAATTTACAAAAATAATAAGTAAATAATGTTTTTTTTTTCATTTATATAGATAAAAGACTTTCTTTGTCATGTGCTACACAACGTCATAAAAATATTCGTTTTTCTTCTCAAACTGAACGCGTAAAGTTGCGGTCTCACAGACCGCACGCGACTGCTTATGTTCGGTACAAGGGTGCGACCACTGGAAGGTTCAGAGCTGACTAGCCGTGAAATATCGCTGAACCTTATTAAGGATACCCAGTTTTTTGGCTGCAATTAGTCTTACATTCAAATTGCCTTACATACAATTCCTAGTTTGAGATTAGGTAATTGGTGTGATTTTCTGGCACATTATTATATATTATACACTTTCAGACAAATATCAAAAACTATTATATAATTGAATTGAATTGAAACTAGTATACTAAACGTCTTTTCCATAAGTTCTTGTTGGAAAATTGGATTTGCAAAACCGGGGAAA